TGCATGGTCTGATCCCAAACCAATACCGGGTTTATCTGGACGATATAATCGTCCGCGGAATCACGGAAAAGAACCACTTGGATAATCTAAAAACATTCATCGGCAGACTGAGGAACATAGACCTCTGCTTGAAGCCGGAAAAATGCCGCTTCATGAAGTCTAAGGTTGCATACCGGGAACACACCATTTCGGCTGCAGGTATCCACACAGACCCGAAGAAAATCGAACAAGTGCAATTCTAGCCTACACCAGAAAATCAGAAGCTTCCTACTACAGACGATTCATTGCTGATTTTTCCCTAATTGCGTCACCCCTACACTCTATGATGGAAAAGAACAAATCAGTTAAATGGGACGCCGAATACGAAAGGTCATTTCAAACACTTAGAAAACTCCTGTGTTCAGCACCCATTTTGGCACTCCCTGACATGGTTCCGTCCGCTGGACAGTTCGTTCTTGACACAGAAGCCAGCGACACTGCAAACGGCGCAGTAAAGTCACAAATCGGGCTAGACGCAAAGGAACATGTTATAGCCTACGGGAGCCGATGCTTGAGCAAAAGTGAAAGGAACTACTGTACCACTCGAAAAGAGATGTTGGCACCGGTATTCTTTTTGAGGCACTACAGGCACCACTGATAGTCACTGAGTACGTATCGAAGATAATCGACTCACTAAGAACAGCGAACCAGATGTCCCCCACCTTCCTCGAAGCATCGCAGAGATACCAGAAAGATTATTACGACAAGAAGTGCTTTGGAGCCCCATTGCGAGCAGGCGACCGAGTATGGTTTCTCAAGACACAGACAACCCCAGGAGTACAAGTGAAACTCTATAAAGAATGGCGCGGACCCTTTATGGTAGAACGAGTACTATCAGAAACAAACTGTCATTCGGGAAGTTGGATCGACACAGCCAACCTTTGGGGTACACTTCAACCAATTCGAGCCATACCTACCACACACCACGCCGGAGAGAAATAATAGCGAAAACAATTTGAGCCCATCAGAGGTTGCCGTCGAAGTAGAGGTACCGATTTAAGCAAGAATCGCTAGGACGTCGAGGACGACGCTTTCAGGAGAAGGGGATAGTGTGTTGTGAAACCAAAACTGACTGACGTCCAGTAATTGAATGCCGAACTGTCGATGACAATCACCTTTTCCTCTGTCCTTTCACAGGCTGTACAAGTTGCGTGACGCCCAGCGCAGTGCTGCAAGACACTGAGAACGAAGACCGAAACAGCACCAACACGTAGCATACTCTGCCAGGGTGAAAAGCACTGTTTCCCAAGGATAGCGTGCAGTGAAAATCATGTTATCTGTTTCAATAAACCGTTCAACTGAACAGAGAAAAAAACGAGGTGATTGTGAGAGATTTCCTTAGACGGAGTCTGTTGGCTGAAAATGCGGAATTTTTATGTCCATTTGTTTTGTTTAAATAAAAGAAGGGTATGCTAAATGAGAGTAAACTTTTGGCTTAAGACATAAGAGGCAGTGGCCGATAGTGGAGGTTGGAGCCTTCAGGTTGGAAGAAAATATATTAGGATGGTTGGTGATGACCTTTCCCAATAGAGCAATTCCTCTGATGGGTGTTACAGAGAGATCTGTTAGGCCGAAAGAAAGTAAAGGCTCGATTGATCCATGATTAAGGTCACAAATTAAACTATCATCAATTAGGGTTGAAATTAAAGGAATAAATAAATCATAAAAGGAACCGATTTAAATTTTTGAGCACAAAGAGGCAACTTAGAGATTAGTAATAGCTGTGCTCCGGAAGGGGAAAACCTAGGCCCACATGAAACAGGGGAAGGCAAACAACGTTTCGAACTTGCTGCCTCAACTGGAGTTGATGTAGATCAGTACCACTCCCCCGACCTTTTTGCTTCTTTCTATGTCTTGTAAAAAATCTTCACCAAACATTCCTCTATGTTTTGGTTCAACCACGATTCCTGTATGCGTAAAACACACGTGCTTGTATGCACATGGTAAGTTAGTAGAACAGTAAGGTCAGCCAATTCGCCAAACGGTGAGTGGATGTTGTAACTGACCAATGAAGGAACCGTCATCTTCACAGGAGGAATGTCAGTATGCAAAAGAGGTTTTGGTACAACCAGAACATTCGTTCGGGTAGAATCATGTGAATTGGATGGTAGAACGCTATTGATTAGTCTTTGATTGTAGGAGAATTTCTCGGGAGAAAAGAGCTGTATACTACCGAGCGTGTCCCCTGGTCGTGGATAGGGGTACATTCGTCATGTGACGGCTGACCGTGAATAAGATGGGCTTAGGTCCCCCGAATAAGCGGTCACCGGTGATCAGCGGCAGCGCTCGAGGATGTGGTGGGTTTCTCTCTTGGCGAGGGTTATCAGCATAGAACACCATACATCTGTGGACAGCGCTGTAATGTTGCGAGGGTGGCCCTCCCCTTAATATGGCCATTGCTCCTTGTCGTAA